AACGTCTGTGGAGCGAAATTTAATATTAATTTACTGTAAGAGATCAGGAAAAGTTTATGAAGGTTTAAAAAAAGCATAAAATGTTCAGTTTCCGAACTTAAACACCATTTTTAAAATGTGTGGTATTATGTAAGAATTTGGAATTGAACTCTTTAATTCAGTGAGGAAAAAAATGTGAACTAATTCAGTTTTCTGCTAATAAATTTGGAACAGTTGATGTTATACTGATTCGATATATTTGATACTGATACTAATAGGCATCTATAAAACAGTCAAACTAAAATATTTGTGGTAAAGTTCAGGCAGTAGTTTAATCATCAAGAGACTGTAAAATTAAAGCAAAAGGTCTCTATAAAAAGAAAAATATCTTCAGATGATATTCAATATATGAATATTGACATAAACATTTATATTATAATATGGTTTAAGATATTATGTGTAGACAATGACTGCCGAGTCAAAATAAGTGTAGTATGGCCCACATTTAAAAAAATTCAGATGACAGCCATAAGGAAAAACTCATATGAAACATGAAACATATAATTATGTTTCTAAATATTATAACATCATTTAGGTTATAGAAATATAATTTATGTCGCAATATTGTTTTAATCTTAACTTTAAGTATTACCAATTGTCTCGACCCAACAAATGGCAACTATCAAAAAATAATATTAATTATATTAAAAGTACATTATTACACCCTTCCCCACTAACAGTTATAGGATAAACCAGAACACATGAACTAGTCTCTTGTGAACTTAAATTTTGTATATAAAAAAGAAGTACAGTATGAAAACAAAATGAAACGAAAAAAGAGATCATTTAACGTCAATAGCGAAATGTCCCTCATACTTAAGAACTCTATCAATTTACACCAAAACCTGCTTAACATATCCATACGCAATATTCCTACACAGTCACTTAGGTTTTTCAAATAAACCTTAGCGTTATTGTATGGTATATCTTTGTATTATGGTGTTTTAGCAATGTCATACTCACAGTTGTAGTCTGTCATCAGCCCAAAACAGAAGTCAGCCTGGGTGTTTCTGACTGTACGTGCCTGTAACCCCTGCTGTGGACTTTGAGCTCCTTCGGTCAGCAGTGCAGCTCATCATCATCCGGGTCGGCTTTGTAAACATAAGGGTTTGGTTTGAACCATTCACAACGCACAGTGACTGACGGTTCGTTTCAATTCCCGAGTCTGAATTGTTGTCAAATATAGTACATCAAATGGCTAGTTTAAATCAACAAACAGTGTTGTATTGAAGTAAATTCTGTTACTGAATAATTTGTTTACACAAATTAAAGTTTTTTTTTTTTTTGCAGTCGTGACAAACAAATTCACAATTCTGAATAAATCTGAATTTGCTTAACACAAAAACTTTCTTAAAACTGTAAATCTTCCATTTAGGTCCTGGATAAGCAGATGAAGATGATGAGGTTTTCTCATAGTTCACACTATCACAATCCCCAGTTTTATCTCACCATTTTATCTCAGATTTAATAAAGTGTGCAAATTGTCCATTTTAGTCAATGGAGATGGTTAGGTTTCCTTACTATTTTTATTTCGATACGAAGTCAATCTACAAATTTGGAGATCCTAACAAAAAGGTGAGAATTTTAAGATCAAGAGCTATCTTTGTTAGTTTTTATGTCCTGCTAGCAGCTTTCACAGTGTTCCAATGGAAATATGTATCATAAATCTCTAATATTACTCATAAAATTCCTTCATGTTGGAAGACTTCATTTATCACAAGTCTTTATTTTTGACCCTTGCTCTCTACATTATTCAATCAATATTATTTTTTATAATACAGTTTTATCACAGAATTCAGAAAACTTAAAACACAGGCTCTCTAGTGTTCAAAACATTGCATGCTGTGTTCATTTCTTTAGAAAAGCCTTACATAATCTTTTTTTTTTATCATGCAAATACTACAGGAAGAAAACTTTAGATCACCAGGACACAGTGCACATCCAATAAGCAATCATTCAATATTATTGTTTAAAATATATGATACATGTTTCATTATGGTTCATAGATATAAGTAATAGTAGGTAATGTTTTTGAACATATATGCACATAATTGTAACTGTAATGGTTTAAAAAATGGCAATTTCTGTAATTATCTTGACAAGCGAGACAATTTATTTATCTGAAAATCAAATAGTATGTCACATGTAATTTACATGTATTTCCATTCAGTTTCTTTTTGGCTTAGTCCCTTTATTAATCAGGGGTTGCCACAGTGGAATGAACCACCAACTTATCCAGCATATGTTTAACGCAGCGGATAATCTTCCAGTCGCAACCCAACACTGGGAAACAATCACACACATACACACCAAGGCCACCAAGCATACCCAAACCTATACATTTGGACTGTGGGGTAACACCCAGAGGAAACCCACGCGAACACAGAGAGAACATGCAAACTCCACATAGAAATTCCCACAGACCCAGCAAACTTCTTGTTGTGAGGCGATTTTGCTACCCACTGCACCACCATGATGCCCTGTTTCCATTTATCAGATTTCTATTTTAAGATCTGTTTTAATCAGTTTGGTCTTGTGGATTTTCCCACATATTCTCCTCCACATCACCGTGGTGTTTTCATTAGCCAGACATCTTGGAAAGAACCTTGTCAGTGTGAATCCAGGCCTGACATTGTTCTGCTGACTGCTGTGATTAAACTCTTGCACACAGTATCAAGTATGAAAACATTGTCTTTAAAAGTGGCAAAAGGAACATAGCAACCACGTCTGCTAAAAATTGAGGATGAAATCTATACATCTACAATATTGTCCAGTTGGGTCATCTTCTGTAGTAACTGATGTCATTTGATTTATCCTGAACTTTTCATCATCTAAACAGGTAAAACTGTACATCAGTTTTTTAGCATCAAGAGTAATGTAACAGTTATTATTTTGAGTGCTTGCATCAGTTGAGAGTTATAGTGCTCAGCATGTGTACACCCCTTATAAATCTCTCATTTAGATGAATATTTTCTATAGGAAGCTTTACAATATTATATTCGTACATATACAGTTGAAGTCAGAATTATTAGCTCCCCTTTGAATATTTTTTCTTTTTTAAATATTTCCCAAATGATGTTTAACTGAGCAAGAACATTTTCACAGAATGTCTGATAATATTTTTCTTCTGGAGAAAGTCTTATTTGTTTTATTTCAGCTAGAAAAAAGGCAGTTTTTAATTTTTTAAACATTCTTTTAGGGAAAAAATTATGAGCCCTTTAAGATATATTTTTTTCAATAGTCTACAGAACAAGCCATCTGTATACAATAACTTGCCTAATCACCGTAACCTACCTAGTTAACCTAATTAACATAGTGAAGCCTTTAAATGTCACTTTAAGCTGTATAGGAGTGTCTTAATAAATATCTAGTAAATATTATTTACTGTCATCATGGCAAAGATAATGTAAATCAGTTATTAGAAATGAGTTATTAAAACTATTGTTTAGAAATGTGCTGAAAAAATTAACTTACAATAACAATACAAAATTTAAAAAGAGCAAAGGTGAAACAAATGTATCAAATTTAGTTGAAATTTTGTAGTTTGTAATTTTCCCAGAATTTACATGTATTTAAATGTTTTGTATTTATATTTTTAAAGATGTTCGGGAGCCTAAATATTATTTCTGTTAAATACATCTGTTTATGTATTGTTCTGTTCAAATGCTTCAATATTTATGACCCATGTTACTAGTACTTAATTATACTGAACGCTGTACATCGTGTTGATTAAATAAATACAAAATGATTTAAAATGTGATGTGTGAGTTTCACTTTTTTAATGAGATGAATTTGATGTTCAATTATTTTATATTGAAAATGGGGTTTTAGTTCAATAAACAAACTATCTTTGACTTGTGTGCTTTGTATCCAAGCATTAAAAAAAAAAAGATTTTTTGTAAAAATGTGCAATTTTGTCAACAGTTTAGAATATTGCCATTAGGGTTCTGAATAATAACTTTATCAAACCTCTTTAGCTGCTCCAGAACGCAGCAGAACGAGTGGTCTTTAATAAACATAAAGGAGCACATGTCACTTCTGCAGATTTATGTCCCCTCCAGAAACTTGCGTTCTGTGAATGAACGTCGCCTCGTGGTTCCATCCCAAAGAGGGAAGAAATCACGTTACCGAACTCTCGCATTCAATCTGCCCAGTTGGTGGAATGAACTCCCTAACTGCATCAGAACGCCAGAGTCACTCGCTGTCTTCAAGAAACAACTAAAAACTCAACTTTTTAGTCTCCACTTCACTTCCTAATCTGAAATTGCCTCTCTGGCTATACCACTAACTGTACTCAAAAAATAAAATAAAATAAAATAAACCTTACATGACTAATGTTTTGCTTCTTACACTTTACACACCTGAAACTTGCCCACAGCACTTATTCATTGTTGCACTTATAGTCGTGTAAATTGCTTCCTTGTCCTCATTTGTAAGTCGCTTTGGATAAAAGCGTCTGATAAATGACTAAATGTAAATGTAATCAAAGCGATTATAAAAAACTGTAATATGCTCAGTTTTTGTCAATGTTTAAGGCATTGTCCGTAATCAGCCTGTTTTATGCAAACACAAGCGAAATAATGTTGGAAAACAGCTGTTAAATGGGTCAATTTCAGTTTTTTTTTCTACATTCTCAGGAATATCTAGTTTTGTCCAACTGAAGAAACTCATGAAAGTCTAGAACCATTTCAGTGAATTAAGTATTTTTATACGCAGCTCTAAATTAGGTCAAGGTTATTTTCAGTTCAGTAATTCTACACTTTACTTTCCTTATCGTTGACCTTTCCGTCTTAAACCCTTTAATGGGTGAGGAACCATACATGGTAACCTCATGTAAAATTTAAGCAATGAAAGTTCAAAAGCCTCGTAACAACCCCCAGTAAATCTTTCCCAATGAGTGCTCCATAAAGAGCTACACAATAACAGTAGAGGTCAATGGTACAATCAAATGTGCAAGTGCATTATTATGAACCTTTTTTTATTCCGGAAGGAAAGAAAACAGATCAAACTATTTATTTTGAATACATTTGGGTGATTACAATAAAGTAACTTAGACACGAAAAAAAGCAGATCACAGAGTGTAACGTTTACTTCCAGAGTTTCTTGATGGACATGTTTTTCTCGCTGTCTTTCTGCATCACCTGTGAACATACGGTAAGTTATTGATTAGAGACATCCACTTTTTTTTCCCTATAAGGATTTTAAGGTGATAATAGAATAATGCCAGTAAAACAAGAAACATTGTCCATACCTTTGCTACTGCCATTTCAAAGTCCTCCTGGGTAACGTGGACCCTCCTTTCTCTCAGGGCGTACATCCCTGCCTCTGTGCAGACGCCCTGTCAGTCACACAAAGACAAAACTCTCACACTGATGCAGCACCACTACTGATGTGAAGCCTGTAAATGAGTGTAAATGAAAGCAGCGGCGCAGGTTAAATCATGACCCCACCTTGACTTCAGCTCCAGACGCTCCGGGCATCAGCTCTGCAATCTTGCGTAGGTTAATTCCACGTGTCAGGTTCATCTTACGCGAGTGGATTTTCAAAATGTCCAAGCGGGCCTGTGGAGAACAACAGAACATAAAGAGGTCAGACTTTCTGTCAACATGTATAGACGTCAGAAGTATTCGTTTTCAGGATGAAGATGAAGCTGAAAATTCGAAATATTTAACATTCAGTGTCACCTCTTCATTGGGAGGAGGGAATTCGATCTTCCTGTCAATGCGGCCTGGTCGAAGAAGCGCAGAGTCGAGAATGTCAATACGGTTTGTTGCCATGATAACCTAAGGGAAAATAAGAAAATATTCACAAAAAAATAAAAAATACAAATACAGCTGAAGCCAAGCACAGAAATGACACCAATGTAATCAGTTTTATTTGATCAAGTGTGATGTTTGCAGTATGTATTAAATTAAATAATTAGAAAAATTATGTAATTACTGAAAAATATTTAATTAGCGTTTTTCTATTTTTAACTTTACACTTTCAGATTTTATTTGATCAAATTATCAATCAAAACAAAACAGTAAATGATCATAATCGAAAGATTATCTACTATTACTATCATTCAAAATTAAAACTACAATACTACTGTTAGTCTTAGACTTATCAAAGACTTATCATCTGTTTTCTAAGATAAAACTACAGAGCATTAAAATAGCCGGAAAAGCAAAAGGAACCCTTGAAGTTTCTCTTTCACAAACAAATTGAATATATTTCATCCAATGAGTAAAACATTATGTATAGCCTAGAAAAATATATAAGAATAATCTTAAAAGAATTTACAGGGTGGGCCATTTATATAGACACACCTAAATAAAATGGGAATGGTTGGTGATATTAATGTCCTGTTTGTGGCACATTAGTATATGTGAGGGGGCAAACTTTTCAAGATGGGTGGTGACCATGGTGGCCATTTTGAAGTCGACATCTTTCAATAGGAAGAGGGTCATTTGACACATCAGGCTTATTGGGAATTTCACAATAAATTTTTTAGAATTGTGAATTCCCATCAACTATCAACTGTAAACAGGCTGATAAAATGACTAAATATAGCCACTTTCGACGCTCATAAACAATCAAAGTCCTCGTGCTGCAGGAATTAGGAGGTCTGGTGAATGTGCAGCTGTCGTGCAGTAAGAGGTTTGCGTCTTTAATAAACTATGACGGTTTGCGTTCATTGAACAGTAGGGCTGCTCTATTTTGGTAAAAATCATAATCACAATTATTTTGGTCATAATTGTAATCACGATTATTCAAAACGATAATCAGTTGCAGTCACAATTATTTTTTCTGCACTCCTGAGAATTTTTAAAAAATAAATATTTCCCAAATGATGTTTAACAGAGCAAGGAATTTTAACAGTATTTCCTCTAATATTTTTTCTTCTGGAGAAAGCTTATTTGTTTTTTTTTGGCTAGAATAAAAGCAGGTTTAAATATTTTGAAACCCATTTTAAGGTCTATAATATTAGCCCCCTTAAGCAATTTATTTTTTGATTGTCTGCAGAAGAAACTACTGTTATACAATAACTTGCCTAATTACTCTATTTAAGCCTTTGAATCGCACTTTAAATAGGAATGCTTGTATTTTGAAAAATATCCAGTCTAATATTGTGTGCTGTCATCATAGCAAAGATAAAATAGTTAAATAGTTATTAAATCTATTATGTTCAGAAATCTTCTTTCCATTGAACAGAAATTGGGGGGAAAGGGTTGCTAATATTGAGGAGGGCTAATAATTCTGATTTCAACTATATACAGTTATTTTCTTCTCTGCAAAGGAAAAAGAAATGAATACAATAGAAAATATGAAACAAACAGTGCTTTAAGCATATTCACTGCAAGAAAAACACTTTAGCTACAAAAGTCCAGAGCAGTGAGGGATTTTCTCGTTTTGTTTGATTAATGATAAAAACAGGCGGCAGCAGGAATTGTGCTCTTTCACGTTTCTTTTTGATTCTCTACTCGTTTGTTTATCACACAAATGAGGGTTAATATGAATAATCACTAAACACCTATTTGACCATTAAAGCGCTCACGTTAAGATGTGATGTGTGCACTCTGCTTGTCTCAGTGAGCGAATGAGACCAAATGCTGACCGCATGCTTCTGACTGCGTTTGCAGGCCGCACACACACAACCATGAGGTCTTTCGCAGTTTTAAGAGCAACACGTGTACAACTGGAAAGGGGGCGATATATGATGCAATAATCGTTTATCACGATTAATGTTTTTTCATAATTATTAGAAGCCAAAATCGATATTGGATTTTTGATAAATTGCACAGCCCTATTGAACAGTAAGAATGATTAATAAATCCATATGAAATAGTCCCTTAAAGTCACGTCTCAACTTCAGTTTTGGGCTCAGGCGCATTTTTGCACTCACACTACAAGCGTACCATGCCAAAGCCCAAGTGAACCGCGCTCTGGCACACCTCTTCCAACCAGGCCAGGACCGGCCAAGTGAGCTGTGCCCGAGTCCGATTCAAAGCACTCACACTTCTCTAACGATCCAGGAAACGGGTCTGGGTATGGATCGGATAGCATAGTGTAAGTACGCCCTCAATTGGATCTAATCTTTTGCAAATTTCTTTCTTCTGTTGAACACAAAACAAGATATTTTGAAGGATGTTGGAAAAAGCAGCCACAGACATCCATAGAACGAACAAAAAAATACTATGGATGTCAATGGCTGTTTTCTATATACTTGAGTAAATCTTCTTTAGTGTTCAACAGAAGAAAGGAACTCAAAAAGCTTTGAAGTAAGTGAATGAGAAGTAAATGACGATATTTTTGGAGTGAACTATCCCTTTAATTTTTTCTCTCAGCAAAGACTAGATGTTTGAATCAGCACAGGGTACAGATGTTTTCCTCTCACCTTGATGTTCTTGGTGGCTTCGAAGCCATCCAGCTGGTTGAGGAGCTCCAGCATGGTCCTCTGCACTTCACTGTCTCCTCCTGATCCTCCCTCCAGACGAGACGAGCCGATGGAGTCGATCTCGTCCATGAAGATGATGGAGGGTGCGTGTTCCCTGGCCATGACGAACAGCTCGCGCACCATACGAGCTCCTGCAATTAACATGGAGAGTCCGAATATGCCAATCAATCCTACTCTGCAAATCAGAGGAAAGTTCTTTAAATTTTTTCCATTGACAAAAATCTCTCCTCAGAGCTGACGAATGGCTTTTTGTTTTTTTGAAAGAGATAGTGTTCAATTAAGAAGCTAAATTTAAAGAGGTAGTTCACCCAAACCAGAAAAAATCTGATTCATAATGAATTAATTATTATTGTTTCAACTACCTGACCTGCATGGTCTTTATTTTACCCATAACCAAATCATAAATAAATAAAGATAAGTTACACACAGATTACCACCTGTCAATCATTTGTTCCGCATGAACAGGCAGAGTGATCAGTGTCTTTATAATGGCGTCGACAAACTTGGTTGGTAAAAAAAGGTGCACAACCAACAGTGACTATGTTTACATGCACACCAATAATTCGATTTTAATGCTATTAGGACAATACCCTGATTAAGAGTTAACCACATAAACAGCGATTTTTGAGTAAATTAATCTAATAAACGTCCTAATTGAATTAAATTATTGAAGTGCATTACAGATTTGTAAACACCTTAATCGAATTAATACCGTCACGTAGAACTTTTCGCAGCGTTTTGCGACAGGATAGTCCACACACATACACACACACATGCGTTAATTGAATAATTGAATTATGTGCTATAACATGTAAAAACGGGATCATGAAAGCAACAATCAAAAAGCAACTCATGTAAACACCTTATTATTCTCTTAATTAGGTTAAAGCAAATAAGTTGATTACTCATGTCCATGTAAACGTAGTCACTTTCTGAGGTTTTTGCTAAAATTACTAAGTACAAGCGTGAAAGCGAAAGATTGAAGCAGTATACTGATGCTGTGACACGTTACCTGATGGATTCAAAGACCGAAGAGTCATTAGATAAAGACAAGATTAATTAAATATCACCCTTTAACAACTGTAGTAAGATGCAATCCAGCGGTAAATCCTTGATAAACTTTCCGATGTGCACTGCTCTCTGGGCTCGTCAGACGAGCGCATGAGAGTGCTAGAGTGTGAGTATGGGTATCTGGGTGTGTGTGTTTGTGTGGTCACAAAATGTGTGTTTTCAGCAATTTAGCGTGGAAGGAGGGTTTTTCAAAAATGCTAGATGAAACGCCAGTGTGGATAGTTTTCGATCTAAAATGCCATTTTAAAACGAAGATGCATTAGTGTAAATGGGTTGTGTAAATTGTTCAAAAATCGCATGAAAAATCATGTTTGGAATTCTAATAAAGTGAGTAATTCTGCTTAGGATTGTATCGTTCAATGAAACATGAATATTTTTTAGCCCTCGACGTCTTTAATGGGCTCCTAAATTTCAGTATTAATATGAACTTACAAGGAAGAATGTGACAAATCCTGTTTGGTTGTTTGTTTCTTTTAAATCCCATATAAAGCTTCTATTGCCATTCTCATGAAAAAAAAAATATACTGGAAATATTTATTTTTTTCTAAAACCGTATTTGGCTAAACAATCTTAAAAAATGCTTCAAAAGAATGAACTCAATAAAATAAAGTCCTCACAGAATTAAAACCCAATAGAACATGCTTTATAATGAAAGTGTTTTTACAGATAGAACATGTGGGAGGCTCTTCTTCTAGTATTAAAACTTGTGTGCCATCCTAGAGAGACCAATTCTACAGCAGGTAAAAAAACAATTTGATTCCAAATTTATAAAAGTTTATTTTACCAAACATTAGGGCTAATTTCCCATTTCCTTTTTGCTATTTGTTATTAATGTATGAACAAATTGTTGGTTTAAGATGCAAAGGAGGTACTGGGCAAATGTTATGGTTTGTCAATTTACAGCAGAGACTGCATCCTTCTTCCCTTTGATTCCAGTGTCCAAAAAAAGAGAGATTTGTTTTTTGTAAAAGCAGCCCACCAACCTTCTCCAATGAACTTCTGCACCAGCTCTGATCCTGACACCCGAATGAAGGTGCAGTCAGTGTGATGAGCCACAGCTCGGGCTAACAGTGTCTTTCCTGTGCCAGGAGGTCCATACAGCAGCACACCCTACAGAAAACATACAGTCAGAAACATGACCAAGCATATCTGGCTGACCTATTAGCCTTCTTGCATGACATAATTATCCAGATAAGAATGTGCAGTGCCGTCACTTGCCTTGGGTTGTGCAATTCCAAGAGCTTCAAACAATTCTGGGTGTTTGACTGGAAGTTCAATCACTTCTTTAATCTCCTTGATCTGTTTGTCCAGTCCTCCGATCATCTCGTACGTCGAATCTGGCACCTTCTCCACCATCATCAGGGAGACCAGTGGGTCCACCTTGTTCGGCAGGATTTTGTGAAGTGTGTAGCTGTCATTTCGAAGTGCTACACGGCAATTTGGGGTTACCTGGTAGAAAGGAGGATTTAATTCACTTTAAACATAAAAAACCAAAAAAATTCAAGTACAATAAATAAATAAAAAAAGTTATGATCCACCACCTGAAAGCTATTTTGTGAATTACTTTAAACCAGTGGTTCTCAAACTTTTTTCTCCAAGTAGCACCACAATGACCAGTATTAAAATACAGTAGCGTCACAGGCCTAAATAAACAGCTACAGCTCTGCACAGTTCAAAAACAAGGCAAATTAATTCCTATTATTATATTTATTATCATCAGCCATTTTAAACATTATAAATAGTTTGAGCACTGACACTGCACTTACTAATTAAAATGTGCTTTTAAAAGTTAATTAAAAGTGGCACTGTTCTTAAAAAGGAAAAAGAAAACTGCTGTACTTGTAAAGTATTAATGTATAGTATCCTATTCATAAAAACCTAGAAATGTTCCTTGGACCTCATAAATATAGGCTATATTTCATCATATTCATATACAAGTTCTTTTTGATACATTTTGAAATATATGTTGCATGTATTTGTATGTCTTTAAAGTCTAAACATTAACTTGAATTTTAAATAAATGATTTGGATTTACATATTTAAATTAGATCTGCTTACGGCGCATTAGAGTAGGCTTTGTATGTCAGAAAACCAAGTCAATAAACCATACCGTCAACATTTGGATATAAAAGTACGGGATACGCCCCAAACAACCGTTACAAATATGGGGAGGAAATTAGCTTCAAATGATAGAATACATATCAAACATTAGAAAATTAAAAATAAAATAAAAGGTTTAGCCTATTAAAATCAATCTACTGATTACATCGGTGTTATCGTATCCGTCAAAGGGTTAAAAGTGTTCATTTTTTTACTTTAATTATTCAGCCATTTCTCAGCATACCACTAGAAGGAAGCCTGCGGACCCCTAGTGGTATGTGTTCCACAGTTTGAGAACCACTGCTTTAAACTATTAAAAAAGAATTAAAAATCCAATAAAAAGAAAATCAATCCAACATCATTAAAGTTATAAAATGTAATAGAAGTTATAAAATAATACATTTTTTTTAACAATCACTTACATTTTTTTTAAATAAAAATACAAAACCCATTAATGTGCAAAAAAATATATTAATATGAAAGCTGAACATTAGATATGATTTAAAATATCACTTATTGGTACTATAAAATAAAAACTGAAGGTATTATTCTGAGGTGGCATTTACACTAGGACTTTTTACAACAACAAAAAAAGCACAGATGTTCAATGTTCTTATGTAACTAGACAAGCTTTTTAAATGTTTGTACCAGAAAATATATTATATTAAATATATTATTAATATTGTATATATTATTATGGGTGCTTTAAGCTTTTTCGCCAATATTATATATATTTTGCTTTTAAATAAATGGAGACTTAGTGATCATAAGAGACTTTCAAAAATATTTAAAATGTATGTGTTTAGGTTTAGCAACTTCCACTGTGATATTCTGCTCAAATAAAATCCAGTCTGTTCATCCAAGAGCCTTTTTTACTGCTACTGAAATTTTAATTTGCAGGTAAAACCTCTATTGAAGAATTGTAATAAATCCAGACTGTGTTGTTTGAGGCTGTTTGCTTAATAAATGCGCTTTTGTTATGTCTGTGCCAAAAAAAAATCTTGTCAAATTAATAACAGAATAAATACTGGTAACATTTTATTTTGATAGTCTATTTGAGTATCACTATACTGTCTGCTTAATATCTATTAATTGTGCTCCATCAACTGACATTTTTCTAACTGCAAGAAACTTTGCAAGTACATGTCAACTTACACTAACACTAACCCCAACCTAACAGTGTACTTTTAATATAATAAGAATTAGTTTGCATGTAGATGCAATGTAACTTAAATTCAACAAATGGACATCAAAATAAAGCGTGACTGAAATATTACAAATTTCACAACTTCAACCGAAATTAAAATTGCAATTATCTTCAATAACTATATTTAAAAGATTAAACATATCAAAAAAACACTTACATCATTAATATCAATGTTCTTATCCACATCCACTACAAACTTTCCTTCTGGATGCACCTAAAAACAAGAATAAATATACAATTGAAAAACAGCACTGCAGTCTCACCCTTGATTTGTATATCAGGAAATAAATGTCTGTCAAACCTTGACCAGCACTTTCTTCTTATCCATGGCTCTCACCACCTCTCCCACATAAGAGCCCTGTTCCTGCAGCAGCTGAAGCTCCTCACGCAGGAGACGCACTGAAACAAAGCACACTCTGTCAAGTTATCCGGCTGATATTCATAGCGTATGCTTAACAGATATGCATTTGAATATTAAGATATTCAGGTCGACATCCTAAAATCAAATTCATCCAAATGTGGGTGAAAAGAGTTTTACCCTTGGCATTTAGCTCATTCCTTTGAGCCTGTAGGCGTCTGAGATTTTGGCTTTTCTCATTTACTGTCAACTGAGTAAAGAGACAAGCACAGTTAGACAATGTAAAAACAGACAGAATAAACCTCTTCTGACAAAGAACTGAGTTTAAAGGATTACATACCAATTTTTTAAGCTTAAAATATGGTCTTTGGTGATGCATAAAATGCAAGTCAACTCTAATGTTTCATATGCATCAGAAAATGTGCACTCCAGATTATTGTAAATACACTGAGGACTGTTTGCAGTGGATTAAAGGTAATAATTTTATATACAATGTTCTAGCAAAATGGCATTCCTTCACATTTCGTCCTTCAGAAAACCTCAATGTACCATCTGGTGCCATAATGGGGGTAAATTTAGTTTTGCCTGAGTTTTTTTTTTTTTGCAGCTCACTATGACTAATTGTTCCCTTGCATTTTCTGAATCACCAAAAAGAGTTTCATCTAAAATTTCCTTTTATTCAAGACTTAAGCAGGGCTCAACAATAAGGACTGCCCAATGGCCCGGGGCCAGTATCAGGGATGCTCGGGACAGTAGAAAGAATGATTAATGGCCCGATCGGACCAGTGATGCCTTGTCACTAAATTTTAATTTGCCTGCGACTATTTGTCAATTATTATATTGTCTTAGAATCGAGAAGCAAATTTTTAAGTCAGCCACCTTTTGTTTTGCAATAAAAAACCTCCACATTTTCCATATTGCTATATTTTACTGCTAAATATATATTTTTTTAATTTATATTTAAATTTTAGATTCATTCATTCATTTTCTTGTCTGCTTAGTCCCTTTATTAATTCGGGGTCACCACAGCAGAATGAACCGCCAACTTATCCAGCACGTTTTTTTTACGCAGCGGATGCCCTTCCAGCCTTCCATCTCTGGAAAACACACACACACACACACACACTTTAGCCTACCCAATTCACCTGTACCGCATGTCTTTGGACAGTGGGGGAAACTGGAGCACCCGAAGGAAACCCATGCGAATGCAGGGAGAACAAGCAGACTCCACACAGAAATGCCAACTGAGCCGAGGTTCGAACCAGCGACCCAGCGACCTTCTTGCTGTGAGGCGACAGCACTACCTATTGGGCCACTGCGTCGCCAATTCTAGGTTAACAGACATTATTTTTGAAACATTATTTAAAATATGTGGCTAAGAAATAGCTTTTTTTTTTTTTTTTTTGGTACAGGGCCTGTGAAATTTTTGGCAGGGCAAGTAAAAATTTGAACCACTGGTCCAATCGAGCCAATAGAAAATATCTCTAGCGTTGAACCCTGCTTAAGGAAAAAAGTCAACTGCAAATCAATGGTCTGAGGATGAGTAAAATGTTTTTTTGTTTTTTTTGTAAATATTTAACATTTTTACATATTTAAAAATGCAATTTTACTGTCCTTTACATCTTAAAAGTATCATTTAAAAACACTTGCAGATAATATTATTTTAAAGAAATAAACTTTAATAAATAAAATATTAAATGGAATTTTAACATAGTTCTTAACACATTTAAAAACAATAATGATAATTCATAATGTCACAAAAATGTTTTACCTAATAGTACAGTTAAAGTGATTGTTTTAATAATCATTTATTGTGCAAGTACATTTATTTTAAGGTGTTAAGACTATAAAATAGAAAAACGCATAAAGTACTTGGTTTCACTGTTTGTAATGAGTTTATTTTTGGTAATAATCACAAAAAAACTATTCTGTTTACCATAAATGACTGTCAGTATATGGCAGTATACTTTAATTCATCAAATTAACTTGTTACCTGAAGGAATAACTTATTTGGGTAAAAAAAAAACCCTATTAAGTTCAACGTACTGTACATTTTCATTTAACTGTAAGCCAAATAAAATTAAGCGTGCGAGACGCTCTGGGCAGTAGACAGGACCGTTACTGGCCTGATTGGCCCAGTGCTGCCTTGTCACTAAAGTTTAATTTGGCTGCGACTGTCTGTCAATTGTGTGCAAATAGGGTGCTAGACATTTGTTTTGCAACCTGTCTCGTTTAATATATGCGAATCAGCAATCGCACTCAGATCCACCCCAAAACCATCGGTCCGAGATCACCTAAATGAGGTGGTCTCAGTTTGAATAAAAAAAAAATTCTGGAGTTGATCGATTGTAGTGAGAAAGCAAAATGATCCAATGAACTAATTAACCAGGCTACATCACAGTGTATTATGGTTGTGTAATAGCCATATATATGTTTTATGAAGTGTTATGAGTAGGGTGGGATGTCATTCCTACCGGCAAATGAGCATGTCATGTCAAATATGAAAGTGAAAGCATGCTGAAACATTACAGAGTGCTGTTTATCCGTTAGGGAAATTGACAGAAATTACCATCTGATAATTGTTCCATATTTTAATCTTAATCTATTTTGTATCTATTTAATTATTGTCTCTAATATATTAATTTTAATCTATTGTTTTGTTTATTTCTACACTGACACCTCAAAAGAAAAATCAGCATTGATCTGCTTCATAATCTGACTGCAGTTTCGGTTCATGTTAATTCTCTCTATAATTTAAGGCTATAATGCATAAATCTATACCAAACGCTTTAAAAATAAATAAATTGAATAATTGTTTGGCTTTTGACACATTTTTTTAAATTATGTGCCAAGGAAACAGCTACTAGCTTCCAGAAAAACCCTTTTTGAACCCTAAACTTTATCTCAATAGTAAATTGTATCAGCAAAAGTGAAGTGTTTGATTGCTATTCTTACCTGAAGCTCCTCGATTTTGGACAGGTAATACTGTCGGAGACCAGAGCCTCCTTTACTGTCCTCGATATCCATCTGCAAACATAAATATTAACAATAATATTGATATGCAGTCACGATATTGATATACAGTCGGGGGATTAACAGTAAAGTGATTATGCCAGGTAACGTTAAAGAAATCGGTTTATTGCTTTTAAAATGATCTAGTCATCCTGTAGAGATGGGAAATAAGACATTTCTCTGTGTATTGTTCGAGAGTAACTTACAGCTTTATTTTCAACAGCGTTTTTTGATTCCCCACATTAAATTCAGTGACATGACATTCCTGAAGTACTACCAGAGATTCATGACATTATTACACACAAAATATCTCTACAGCCATTATAAACGTTTTTGTATGTAATAATGAAACTTCCTTAGTTGACATGTTATATTTAGTCATGCCATGTTATGATCAATCCCAGTCAGTGACACAATGAGACAGCAAACTCTGCTTCATTCGTCTCTTAAAGTCAGACATTGTATCTTATTTCTAAACGCTACAGTCACCGTACAATATATCTCTGGAATTTGTTGTGCTAAAGAATAAAGTACAGCTAACATCACTGTTTATATTAGAAGATTTAAAACAAAAATATTACTTACTTGCTCGATCCCGTCCAGCGCCATCTTGAAAACACAAACTTCCGCCAGTCAATTGCGCTTTTCCGGTTTGTTTTCTTCAGGGAATGATGAAGACGGAGGATTCAATCTCTAGCGCCGCAGTCACATTGGAGAGATACTACAATCATATTCATCCCCCTGAGACCCACAGAACATTTTTTTCCTTTTTCTGATTTCCAACATCCTTTGGATTAAAAAAAATCTACAATTTAGGGTTTTCACATTTGTTTTTGTTTTTTTTTATTTGTTTTTATTTTTACTGCCTGTCCACTGTAGTGGACCACAGGACCATTTTAGGACCATTCTGCCAAACTCAACAAAACTGTACAGGATATTAATATCTGGATGCAGCCTTTATGATGCAAGCTGAATTTGCATCACTCAGCAATGCAATCTCAGACACAATGCACTCAATGGAGAGAGTGACATCACTGTGATGATGGGTAGAGTTAGGGGTGGGGTTAGGTGAGCCCATTAAAAAGCATTGGATGCAGCTCAGATTGCACTGCACCCGGTCTGCATCCAGACCCCTCTCCAGAAAATGGCTGAAAAGAGATATTAATCCAATATTAATGTAACTCAGACTAAACAAAAGCCATTTTTGTTTTCTTTTGTATTGAAATTCCTGAAACAGTTTAGTCTAAAAGAGAGCCAAACTGAAAAAAAGAAGAAAAAGAAGAGATATTAATCCAAAACAAATTTAACATAAAAGCGATTTAAAACTGATTGTCATTCTCTAATTGTCTCTTATTGTCTGATTGTCAGACTCTAAGTCATAGTCTCCATCAACTATCTTATAAAGAATCCTCTCTGCTTCAGTTCTGCCCCCTACAACATGCAGTCATTTATTAAAATAAGATGGTCCTGGTGTCCACTACAGTGGACATCAAAAAAGGATGATATTTTGAAACACAAACAAGTTAACAACTTTGAAAGCTAAATGTATTGTTCCTGACATTCTAATTAACAAATATATACGTAATAATAATAGTAAAAAAAAAAAAAAACATTTAAAAGGCTAAATTTTACATACCTCTCTCTTTCCCATAAATGAGCTTGTTTGTATGCCGGCCAGTGTAAGTAATGGTTCCTACAATGCCAGCCAATCAAATGACATATCACTAGAAAGTCCAGGACTAGTTAATCCACACATAAATCTGTTTTATACGCACGTCTGTTTTGCAGGTGTCATGGAGGGTCAATTCAGTTCACCTAATCTGCATATCTTTTAGGTGTGAGTGGATTTTTTTAGCAGTGCAGAGATTACAAACTTCAGTTTTGTCATTGTCACCCAATTGACTAATTCCACACAAAAGACATTTATTCAGACAACAATAGCTTCACCTTTGTTTAGATTGGCAGGATAAAATTAAACGTAAAATTACTAACAAAGGCTGAAAATTCTGACCTAATTTTCTCACTCTTTGCTTGTTCTAAACATGTTTGACTTTCTTTCTGAAGACTTCGAAGAAAGCTGGTAACCATTGACTTTCATACTATTTGTTTTCCTACCATGCGTGTCAATGCACCGGTTTCCTGCTGACTTTAAAATGTTCCGAAAGAAAGTCAAACAAGTTAAACACAAGTAAAAGGTGAGAAAATGATGTTTTTATCAATGATGTTTTTAGATTTGATTTAATTTTAAAGGAAGCTGGAAACCTGTAAGCATTGACTTTTAAAGTATTTGTTTTCCTACCATGCATGTCAAAGGTTGCCGGTTTTCAGCTTTCCTCAAAATATCTTCTGTGTTCAACAGAATTAAGAAACTCTGTTGAACTAGGCAAAAAGCCACTTGTGTGTAGAAGAAGTGAGCTATAAATGGAGACAGGTATTACCAGATTAACCAGGACTGCAGACACTACATGCATGAACATGACTGGTGTTTGCCTTTATTTAACGGTCTAGCATACAACGCAAAAAACATGCATTATATTATTTGGAGTAAACAATCAAATTATAACATTCAATATTAATAAAAACACTTCAATATAGTTTGGTCTTTGCAATGAAGAAGGTAGTTTAAATTTCAAAAGAGGTACGCACTACTGAAAAAAGTCTCCTATCCAAGTTTTAGAAACAACAAATACTCACTTCTAGTTGATCATTTAGTATCAGAAGGGGCTAACATGAAAGGAAAAAGCCTCTAGATTATGCTTGTTTTACCAAAATAAATGATCATGCCTTGATTTTTAATTATTCAATTAGTATAGTAGGATCTGACTTTGCTTAGACAAAAGTCTTGTCACTTAACAGAAATAATCTACAGTATAGAATATAAAGTCATGCTGCAGTGGAAAAAGAATTAATTTTGTGTATGACTCCTGTGAGCTTGGAGGACTGCATCCATACATCTCTGCAATGACTTAAATAACATATTAATAAAGTCATCTGAAATGGCAAAGAAAGTGTTCTTGCAGGACTCCCAGAGGTCATCAAGATTCTTTGGATTCATCTTCAAAGCCTCCACCTTCATCTTACCCCAGACATGCTCAATAATGTTTATGTCTGGTGACTGGGCGGGCCAATCCTGAAGCACCTTGACCTTCTTTGCTTTCAGGAACTTTGATGTGGAGGTGAAGTATGAGAAGGAGCGCTATCCTGCTGAAGAATTTGCCCTCTCCTGTGGTTTGTAATGTAATGGGCAGCACAAATGTCTTGATGCCTCAGGCTGTTGATGTATAAAATGTTATGAACGAAAAACACACGTAACTTCCCCTTTATGAAACCAACTTTATTGCTGAAAATACTCAAATTTCTCATAAAAAAGTACAAAAGATAAGCATTTGATTAATACAAAAATATAAAACAGAACAGTTGTAAGAACTTAATTGCATTTAACACACACAAACACAAATGTAATCAGTTAACAAGTAAATCAAAGGCACAAAGGCGTAAAACAAAAACACTAGTTGCATTTCAGATCAGCATTAATACTGTCTGAGCAATTGAGCAATTAGCAAAATAAACTATTGAAAAACACAAAACTTTATGGAAAGAAATCTGTGACATGCTTTCAGCTCAACCATCAGAGATGCATTAAAAATAGAAGCTAGAATTTAATTTTCAACATCCTACTGTCAGCACATTTTTTCCTCACCAGTCTTCCTGTCTTATTATTTTTATTATTATAACCACCTGTTATATTCCTTGTTTTAAAATTCAGTTTGCTGTCATCTATACTTAACATAAGCGACTGCAAAAAATGAATTAAAACACACTTAAACAAAACGTCCAACAGCTTTTTGGAATGTAAAAGTGCACGCTGAAGTGAACTACTTATTATTAAGTAACATTATGGCTTCGGTATACCTGAAAATATCAATTATGCTGATGGCTTGCATATCTAAAACATCGTCTTTGACAAATGTGGTCACTGCTGTGTCTCTTTAGCAGACTTTCAAACACTAAATAAAAAAAGACTAATACCACTAACTAGATGAAGACAGAAAGTCTGGTAAATTGAACTAAAACAGCTGGATATCCAAATGTGCTGGGGTGGAAACACAAAGACATGGCTCTTGAACGCAGTGCAGCACATATTTTTCCTGAGAGACCAAATGGAAAAATCCACAATATTGAAAACATTTCATTGCTAGTCTACTTAATTGCAAGCATATAAACTCAAAACGTGTGCAATTAATTTTGTTGGAATATCCTTTGCTGTAAGAATCAGAAACAAAATGGCAAATTGACTTCAGCAATTCCTACTAAAAACACAAAATCAAGATTGTTATCTATTTCCAATGGGGTTTTAACAAACAAACTACAGTACTGCATTGTACTGTAAAAAAATTACAAGAGTATTATTGTGTATGAGTGTATGTCAAATAAAGGCCATGAACTCAATGGCTTATTTTCATATTTTCTTTTCACAATATAGAAATAAAGACCAGAGAAGGGAAGATAGCAACTGAGGCATTCCAGTTATTGTAACAGCGCTTGAAATATATTTGGCCAGATGTGTGTAATGGTACTGCAAATGCTGCACCTGACAAGCTGTTTATGACCAGTACCAAAAACCCACATGAAGTGCATCCGCTGGTTATGAAACAGAAACTGATTCAACATTTGTTGAATCAGTTGCTCGGATGATTGTGGATTTGGAGTCTGAATCTTCTTAAGTGAGTCGGATTCCAAGTACCTGCTCCAACTCCTGTCTCCTCTGCTGGACCTGAAATCAAGTGAAAAAAGGTGAGCGCTTACTATGGGAAGTTCTATTAGAGTCGGTACTATTAGAGTTGGTAATATTAGAGTCGGTAATATTAGAGTAGGTACTATTAGAGTTGGTACAATTAGAGTCAGTACTACTAGAGTCTGTAATATTAGAGTCGGAACTATTAGAGTCAGTACTATTAGAGTTGGTACTACTGGATTCTGTAATATTACAGTTGGTACTATTAGAGTCGGTACTATTAGAGTCAGTACTATAGAGTCGGTAATATTAGAGTAGGTACTATTAGAGTTGGTACAATTAGAGTCAGTACTACTAGAGTCTGTAATATTAGAGTCGGAACTATTAGAGTCAGTACAATTAAAGTTGGTACTACTGGATTCTGTAATATTACAGTTGGTACTATTAGAGTCGGTACTATTAGAGTCAGTACTATAGAGTCGGTAATATTAGAGTAGGTACTATTAGAGTTGGTACAATTAGAGTCAGTACTACTAGAGTCTGTAATATTAGAGTCGGAACTATTAGAGTCAGTACAATTAAAGTTGGTACTACTGGATTCTGTAATATTACAGTTGGTACTATTAGAGTCGGTACTATTAGAGTCAGTACTATAGAGTCGGTAATATTAGAGTAGGTACTATTAGAGTTGGTACAATTAGAGTCAGTACTACTAGAGTCTGTAATATTAGAGTCGGAACTATTAGAGTCAGTTCTATTAGAGTTGGTACTACTGGATTCTGTAATATTACAGTTGGTACTATTAGAGTCGGTACTATTAGAGTCAGTACTATAGAGTCGGTAATATTAGAGTAGGTACTATTAGAGTTGGTACAATTAGA